CAATGTTGCAACATATGGTAGCCAAAGAACTCTGGCCTCTTCGAAAAAGTGAAAACTGCTTAATGGAGAACTGAGCAACTTCCTTTCCGGAGATGAGCTGCTCCGGATGGAAAAGCTGGCGATACGTGCCTGTACGGACCTCATCCACGACCGTAGGCTCCAAATCCACCTGCCACTCACTGATATTGAATGCGTGGTTGATGCACTGACTCCACGTATGACATGTGTAGATGCGGCAGGGCTCACGCCTGAAACGCAAACATTCTGAAAAAGTCATGGCCAAGCAACCATCACGCAGCGTGGCACGTGCTTGCCCGCCCCGGTCTCGCTGAAAAAGGTATTAAATGCATCCTTACGGCTTCAGAGAGCATTTGGAGTGCTAAGCAAGCCTGAACGCAGATGACATGATTCAAGTGAGCCTTCTGGGCCAGTGTTGGACACGTTTGATCGATTGACCCCTCGTGCTTGCTAGCTCAACAACTCACCCAAGCAAAGAAGCAGCGTGGCAAATCAGAAATCATAAGTTGGAAATACATGGAAAAAACTCCTTGCACAGCAAAGAAAAGCCGCGATGGTGGTGTGGGGTGGTGGCGGTGGTGCTAGCGGTGGCGGCGGCCGCGACGGTGCCGGTGGCAGTGGCGGAGGCAATGGCGGTGGTGGTTGTGGCGGCGCTGCTTTCAGGGTGTCCCCAACACGCAAGAAGCGACGACAGGCTAGCAAAGATCCTTCTTCTACTTTCCTGCTGTGGTGCTTCCATGGCTCATAGCCAGGATCATAGACTGCCACAGCTTTCGATTGAGGTTTGGGTGGGTTGAGTTTCAGAATGATTGAATTCCCCGATCGGGGTGTCCCGACTTTGGTTCTCTTAGCTCCAAATTGTGCGTGATCTTCGACACGTGTTGCCTGACCCAGCCAAACGCTTGCAAGAACATAGCCTAACCAAATGCGCACGGCGGTCTGGACAGGAGGTTTTCAAGACGAGATTGAGTATTGTTGAGCAGAGCTTTGGAAAGGATTCCATGGTCACCGCGGAACACGTGTGGTGAGAGCGCGACAGGGCCAGTCTAAGCAACATTAAGCAACATCCCAAACAGCAACCGCTTTCTGCATTTGATGACGAGGAGGCCATGCCTATGTTCAGCGACACCGTCTCTTCCTCCAAGTGCGGCAAAGAGGCGTCTCCTCCACCAATCCTGAGATTTCGTTCAGCAGGACTTCTAAATCAACCTCGCGATAACAGCCCTCTGGAAAGACGGGTGGAAACCGCCTGCAAATCCCCGAAACACAACCCCTTCCCCTCACTGCGGCCCTGGATCGTCTTGTCGGATGGCATCTGGCCGTCCGGCTGGATGCCGTGCTCGAGGCAGAAGAGCTCCCAGCAAGCATTGCCGATCTGCACGCCGCCCTGCCAGCTGCACACATGGCATCAGCTGCTTGCGACCCCCAAACCCACAAGCCCAAGCCCCAGAATGCCCACATAGATGATCCAGTTGTGAGTCCTTCTCATTCCCATGAAGCAGCCAACCCCAAACTGAAACATTATGGTGGACCAACGATACACAAACCCTAAACCCTAACCTCCCAAAGCCCTCGATCCTGAATCTAACTAGAACGCTCAAACACCGAATTAATTCTTTGGGGTGACTCTGCGAGGCAGAACGGCGCCTGACCGATGTGGATGCAGATTGCCTCACGCATGGCTTAGTGCGGAAAAGGGTCGGAAGTCACCTCGCGATGTAGTGGCCTCAGGCACCAATCCTTCTCGGGCCAAACAGCCACGTCATCAAGCACATGGCAAAACCTGACGGATACCACGGCTATCATCAAAGGTATCACCACCACCAGCACCACCACCACCACGACCACCTCTGTCATCACCATGATCATCATCATCGTCATCATCCATCATCATCATCATCAGCAGCAGCAGCAGCAGCGGCAAAAGCAGCATCTCCTGCTTCCCCTTCCTACGAGTATCATGAACACATTCTCCATCACTTGCCATCACCATGAATACTACGACATCGTTGCATTGGTCGTGGTCGTCATGGTTTGCAGAATCAGGAGGTGAGTAGGGTGGTCAATGAAGCAACTATAGCTCTAGCCGCTTGAACAACGTGGCATGTGAAACCACGAAGCGTCATGTAGACCATTGCAAGCCTTGTCATCATAGGCTTTAATATCAAAACATCATAAGCCATCACAAGTATGATCATGGCTCATTGGCTCATCCGCAGCAGCAAACGCGAAAGCTTCGCCGTCTGCGAGCAGGACAACAGAGGTCGTACTTGCGGCTGAGAGGAAAGCGGCTCCTTCAACCATCACCAAAGACCTTTTCTTGCCACAGCTTCAGCGCACACAATCTTGAATGAACAGTCCGAGCGTTGACCGTAACAGGTACACTTCCACCCGTCACGGAACAACGGCGTCATGCACTGCCCAAGGAACAGCTATTCAGAGAAAGGGATGCTTAGAGCCTTCGAGTGTCAAACCGCATCCTGATTCCTGATCCTCGGGCTTCAACAGCGGTGTTCTCAGAACTCATCGCCGTAACCTTCCTCCTCTCCCTCTCCCTCGGCCGTTTCGATTCCAACCTCTTCGTAGTCCTTCCGATGCCAGGCTTGCGCAACCCGCAACGCTACAAGGAACATTCCAAGGCAAACAACCACCAAAGCTCTAGCAGGTCGATC